TTTCCTTGTTTCCTTACATTTCGATGTTTACTGTGCATTTTGTTGCATATTTGTTGTCTTCAATTGAACTCTCTCGACGAGGCCGTACAGTTCATGATCATCAAGGCAGGCAAAGCGCTAGTTCCTCTTTTTCTTCCTTCTTGTTCCTCACTGAGGAGGGGGGACGGAAGCCAAGCCCCAGATCAAAACTTAGCACATTTTTCTCCAATTCCGATATTTATCACTTATACTTGAAATTACTTTGCGAGTATTGGGAAAACTGTGAGTTTGAAATGTTTTCAAATTGCGCCGGTAAATATTAAAAGTGTGACGTCCCAACAAGCTGTGTTTACATACTCTCATCTAAACTAACCAGTTGACCTAAGAGAGCGTGCGAACTATCTCAATTATTTTAGAACCATCACTAGTTACAAAAGTGTGACGTGCAAAACCGAATTACAGTCACTTGGCTTTTTTAGTAGTTTTGGCTTTGATCATGCAAATCACACCTGCTAGAAAATGAAAAGTTCACGAAGACAATGAGTCCATTATCACGCAAAGATAGCTTAGCGTTAAAAAAAAATAGACTTAGGTTGTACTGTGGTCGATCTTGAGATGAAAATCAAACCTTTCAAAGGGGTAAACACTGAAACCTGACATTTCCTGTTGAAAAAGAATAACATTTTTCATTTTTCATATTCAATTACATCATGAGCGATAAAAGTGTGACGTAGGAAACCAAAATACTGTGTACTTATTGATGGAGTGGTAGGGGCGCAGCGAGGTCCTTTCTTCATGACCCTGAGCTTAATATTTTCCCCACTGGCCCCACCAAATTCTATCAATAAGCATTTTATCATATGATAACTAACTGTTAAAAATTTCAACCTAAATGGAACGCGATAGACGGGCATACGGGCACACAAGAAGTATGCAATTTAAAACTTTTCCCTTTATTTCGATAAGCCCAGAGGGGGGGAAGGGAATAACCTAAACACACGTGATCTGGATACCTAAAACACTGTGACAGCGGAAGTTAGGAAGGTTGGGAAAAGTAATTCGTTATTTTTGTTGTTTCATTTTGAAAGCATCAGCCACACTGTCAACATCTTGGTAAGTGCGATTGAAAATCTTTCCTAGTCACTCGGTTTTTATCAGCTTTAGTTATTTAGTAACTGTAGAGAGGTAAGGCTCTTATGGCAAAGCCCAGTACCTACTTTTTTTATCTTTATGTTTGCGATACGTCACGTTTCGAGTGTTAGTCCTTCGTTAAAGCGGTTGATGGCGCGATTGAATCGTCACCACGGCGAAATAAATTGGTTTTACGGCAACTTTTTCAAATCTCTGTGGCTTTATACCGTATAATTTATCCTCATTAACCAAAATAAGGTTATTGAGTATTGTACAATTTGAGAAATTGATGATCATAAAACTGGATTGTCCCACGTTGATATAGGAAATCCGTAGTGCTTCATTACGTGGTTTTCCGGTGGCTACGGCCCAGCCCGTTTTTGTAATTTAACATGTGTGTTCCTGTTTGAAGTGACTCGTTATTAATCAAGATTATCGACCATTTAGTATTGTGTTACTAAAAATAATGTTTCCCTGATAACAGTTGAGGATTGCAATGGAAACCTAACAGCAGAAGCCATGACACCTTTCTTGAGCCTCGCCTTATTTGTTGCCCTGTTCTTGCTCAACTCAGATCGCATTCAGAAAGCCATTGAGATATGTAGCGAATGTTTGATTTTGCTAAATGGCACCGATCAAAACAGCAAAGACCAATTTGATTCAGCAATGCTACAATTTTACAGCGACATCTATACCATTCTTTTCAGCGCTTATCGTCATATCTCTGACTACATAAGTGCGGAAAGATACGGAAGGAAACTGTTTGACTTATACAGAGGGTATGGAATTATGCTTTATAAACTTGGCGAAAGCCTAAAAGCAAAGAAATATTTTGAGAGGGCCCTTGCCATAACAACCAAAATTGGGGACAGAGAGGGGGAAGCATCATGTTATGGAAACCTAGGTGCCGTGTTTAGGTCGCTTGGCCAATACGACAAGGCTGAAGAGTATCTTCAAAAAGCGCTTGTCATCACAACTGAAATTGGCGACAGACGAGAGGAAGGATCATGTTATGGAAACCTAGGTACTGTGTTTTGGTCGCTTAGCCAATACGACAAGGCTGAAGAGTATCTTCAAAAAGCACTTGTCATCAGAACTGAAATTGGCGACAGACAAGGGGAAGGATCATGTTGTGGAAACCTCAGTACTGTGTTTCTGTCCGTTGGCCAATACGACAAAGCTGAAGAGTATCTTCAAAAAGCGCTTCTCATCACAACTGAAATTGGCGACAGACGAGGGGAAGGATCATGTTATGGAAACC